TCTTTTTAAAAATATTGCACCTTAAGGTCGCGTGCTTTTCTACTTTGTACCATTGATGGAAATTCATGTCTTGTAGATTTAAATTCTACATAATGTGTAAAGGACTTCATGATATTACGGAGTTTAGACGTGTTTCGATTATAGTTGGCCTCCACACTCCACATGGTATTTACTCTGTGACTGTTTGCTGAGTTAGTTGATAAATCTAGGCGCCACACGGTTCCTCTCTACTGTTATGTAAAATATCCGAGTATCTTCCGCATGCATACGACGGGGATGCGGAATACTATCCCCCGGAAAACTACCCCCCCCCCCCAGGTGAAACGTGACGTCACAAAATCTGCTAACTAACCAATATGGAAGCCGTGTCCGCGACTGGAATACTACCCCCCCCCCCCTAGACAAATCATGCTATGTAATTTTAATTTTAATTCGAGTAATTCCGTTGCATAATAGAAAAGGCATGTGGTGAATATAAAACAGATTTTCGAAATGTTACAGCAAGTTTGGTTGGTTAGGTTAGATTAGAACTGTTTGACAACTAAATTTGAGTGTCCGTGACTGGAAAACTGCCCCCCCCCCGGTCTCTGACGACAATATGACGTAGGGACCTGCTTGGGGGGGGTAGTTTTCCGGGGGGGGGGGCAGTCTTCCGGCGACCCCATACGACTTTGTAGTATAGAAAGAACTAACGTGGAATAACTGTAGAGAGGTTCCGTCTGCGGCCTTGGAGGAAGGTCAACTTGATATCAATTTGGAGACTGACTTGTTAAGAGCTTTAAGGGCTGCATCCCTTACTATCGGGGGTGTTTATAGCTCTGGCGATGTATGGAGTTCACCCTCTCGGCTCATTCTCCCCCTCACTCGGAGGGCGAGGGTCCGTCAATGGTTTGGAAGTATTTACCTACTTCACCTCTAAGTGCTCATTTCAATCATGGTTCGTTCATTGCGAAAAAGCGAAAAGGCAAAGTTCCTTTATTAGAAAGTTTGGTAAAATTGCATTACTCCTCCAATATTTTTAATGAACTCTAGCATTGTGCTTACACGGTAACAAGCTGTAAGTAAACAAATAACGATAAATCGAACAAAACGGCAAATAAATAGAAAATACTGTAACCTCGAATACAAATAATACTGAGTTTTTTCTATTTCCTATTGCATTTGCTCGACGCGATTGAAATGTAATCAGTTTGGAGTAAAACCATCTAGGATTAATCATGGTGTCCTGCTATTTGCGCCCTGTGTCATTTGCTCCCAATAGGGTCAGTTCCCGGAATACCCGCCGTGACCTTTCCATGTGTCACAACCATATGGTTGTACTTATAATATGTTGTTTTTAATAAATTGTTATAACTCGAGTTACAACTGTGAATAAAAAAATAATTTTACCATCTTGTTAGTCTAAGAAAGACTCACATTTTAAATCCTAGGTTCACATAATCGCAAGTTAAACAGTATAGACCTATCAATGTTAAGATATTTTAAACTATTTGAATATTTCTTTTAGGGTCTAAGATTAGATATAACTATAGTGAGCAAATATATAAAAATGTGTATAAATTATGTCACTGTACAAAGTAAAACTTAGTGAGAACAACACTAACCATTGTAGTAACACTCCAAAACCATATAGGAATAAGCGTTTGCCGTAATGTATTCTCAGAGAGAGCGTTGAATTTTTTACCTATAAAAATGTTGTCTCTGAACTGAAGTGGATTATAGGATTTCCCGGTTTCTGAGGGATTATAGGTTCTCGGTATACATTCTACCCGTCTCTGTGGATGATGGGTTCTCGATGTAATGTCATCTTTTATCTGAGGAGGATTATAAGTTCTAGGGATAAAGTCATCTTGTCTCTGGGGGGAGGTTATATGTAGGTTCAGCAGTGTAAAATCACCTTTAGTACCTGGGTTCTAAAATCGCGAGGCGAATCAGAACACCCAACGAAAGATGGAGGGGAGATAGCGCGTACGTACATGCTTCCACATATTGAACTTCTCTGCAATGCAGGGAACAATTTTATACAATATATTCATACGCAAATTTACATATAACCTATAAAAAAGATCATATCTAAAGATTCGTATACACTACTTTGACTTAGTTTAGTAATAATGATTTTTTACATTCTAGTAATTTTAGGTGGGGATGTTTATAGGCTACTGAAAAGCGACTACACTGTATACATCGGGGTAGCCAAACTATGAGAGAGGTTTAATGTTCCTGTTGAATAGACGATTAGGTACGTGTTGTGCTCAAGTTTCCTTTAGCGAAATTCAATTCAATTTATTTATCACAGAAATACACAATACAGTGGTTGTGGATCAGCAATGAATACAATTGACCTGTCAATACAAATCATACATTATAAATAATTACAAAAATATAATGAATATATTATATAAAAACGTCAAAACAAGATATTACAATTGAGAAGATTAAACTAGATAAAAGAGTTGAGAACAACAACTCTTATGAACTCATATCATAAGGGTAAAGCTCGATCAATTTTTCTGGTTTTTGTTTAAATTGTTTAAACTTAAAGACTCATCTATCTCGAAAGATCAATATACGAGTAGATTGAACATTAGCGGCCATACGAACGAACAGAGCGTATTCGGATTTTTCAACAGCAACAGTTGAATATTTCTCATAGCCCCAGGGATTGGTGTATCGGTTTTTGTCCATCATTTGCCAACCGAGATGTGATTTTGGATATCATTTCACAGTTGACTTGGAAATGTACTCCTTGGGGGGCTGTTACGAAATATCACAGGATTCTGACGTTCATTTGATAAATGCCAAAGCTGCTACGCTGGCATTTCAGTTTTAATATGGTCTGAAGTTCACGAGTTGAATTGACGTTAGTTATAACTTATGTAGGTGTAGATAAGCCATAGGATTTACGAACTGTTGTCATGTTAAATTGTACGGGAGTTTTGACAGATTATATAATCTCTTTAATACGTAAGATAATCGCCCAAACTGCTGGGCGTTTATAATGATAAACGTTTAGTTTAAATTGGTTCGTCCCGTATCACAGACATTTTATAGACCATGTAAAAAAGTATCTGATGTAAAATGTAAGTTATCATAAAATGTAAGTTTATAATATTACGACACAATTAATCGTCATGTTTATCCAAACTATAAACATCAATTTCACCCTTTATGGCAAGAACGCAAGTGATCCTGCTGTCCGTAACTAGAAACTGAAACTAGAGAGTCCCAATTTAAAGTAATTTTCAATAATTTACAAGTTTATCCTGCTGACCAAGTGACGGTCCAGGAATAGCCAAGCTTAACACAAAGATTTTCCAGTATTTATAGGCCAACAGCTCCAAATACGTAACTTACGAGTAAAGTATGAACTACGAATAAGATCGTCACATTTCTCAAAGTAAGAGTATCAAACAAGTATCAAAGAGTATCTACGGGTTATTCTCTGAATTACCATTTCAACAACATGTTTTCGTCATTATCGTCCTAGTTTACTTTGTTCCATTCCATTGGCTATTCAGGAAGTTTCATAAACAGACCTAGGTGACCAAGGTCAAGCTAGCTGTGGAGGTTATGTTATGACTACCAGACTATCAGCTGACGGGCGCGCGCCAGCTGTTAAGATCAGCTGTTCCAGTGCTACCACCACCACGGCGTGTTATTATTTACAGCTGTCATGTTCGCCCGCGGCCCACCTCTACTCTAATTATGCATTGTCCCTCGTATATTTATGTTGACTCAGATGTCATTATTTACCGTAACTTTAGGTCCCTCCCTTTACAATGCAGGCTGACCATTGTTTGAGTTCACTTTTTCATAACCTGGAAACCTGTTCATATTTATAATGCACATTGAACATATTGAGGATATAAATCATATTGCACGACCTGGCGGGTCTACAGTACCAACATCAAACGTAGAGATTGTTTTATTCAATCAATGGGTCGATATAATTAATTTATATTGCTTATACATTCCGTTGTAAGAATGTTCCTCAAGTAGTCATGGTCCTGATTATGCTCATCAATTTCTTATTTCTACCGCCAAATTTTAATCTCTCGCCATGGTCTGTAACTTTTGTATATTTAATAATTTTTGAATTTATTTTCTCGTTGCTCAATTTTAATTTTTAACGTTGTATTTATATTGCCTGTATTAACTTAATTCCTTGTTATTTATATTTATATTTATTTACCAAAGACTGAATACAAGATGTATAAACAAACAAAATTGACTTGTCTATGCATTGTAATGTAAAAGTGACGAATAAATGTCTTATGTCTCATGTCTTATTTGTGCAGAAAGGTTCTGACACTTACTCGCTAATAGTGTGTGTGTGACACATTTTTCTATATTGTATGCTGCAATTGACTATAGTTTCGTAATATATTAAGGTTATTATTTTATTTCTACAAAAACAATATTTTTAGGTTAGGTAAATTACATTACGTCAACACACAACATTTTAACTAAAATAATCGCCGAAAATAGTTTAAAAATTTAGGATGGGGTTGGTATAGTGCGAGTGCGAGGTCGTCTTTCAAGTATCTATTCTAACGTAAAATAATTGGCAACTTCAAACAAACGGACGAGTTTCCCTTGGCATATATACACCTATCATTTTTGGACACACAGAGAGTTTCTTTGCAAAGAGTAGAAAGGCTCTTTCAAGTGAAACAACGAACTGAAGTAACTATACATATTTTGGAAAACACTGTGAACGAGCCAAGCTGCTCCTTTCGTCCACAGCGATGCATCATTGTAGCAATCTGAAACAACGTTATATCATGTACTTTGTAGGCGTGCTACACTGTTTCAAGTATACTATTTGTATTCGTATATTATGTGCCTTAGCCTTATGGTGGTTTGTTAAAACATAAATGAACTATTTATTCTGTTGTTACTGAATTTAATGTACACAGTTGTTGGTATTAATTGTTGGGTTTTCTGTGGTTTAGTGTACATGCACAACTCGATGTATTCCTTGACAGTTTGTTCAGACGTACACGGGCACTATCCTGGTGGCAGTCAATCCCTACAAGGAGCTCAACATTTACACTACGGTAAGTTAAAATCCCAATACTTTGGATAGTCTTAGACAGTTAGGTAGTGCTTTTAAATCATTATACTACTGTACCGTGAAGTAGACAATCAATTCCTACTGAGTGTGCTGTTGTTGAATACTATTTTCTATCCTATACACAATTTTTTAACCATATCGAAATTAAGGGATCAAAATCCGTTGTCCCAATTCGCGTTCACAGATCGAATAACTATATATATAAAATTAAAATTAAGTTGTAACACACTAGGCGAAGAGGCTCATCTAAAGATATTCCCTTTAAATAAAAACCGGCTACAGGTGGTTCATAGATGAGTCTACTTCAGTAGCCAAATTAAATGGTAACACACTTGAGAGAAGAAAGCATTCTCATTTGTTTAATACTCGTATCAATTTTACTGCGGTTCTAACTCAGAAATTCAGCTTTACGGGTTGTACTGTATTTAACATAGCTCTATAACGTTATATCGATAATTACTGAACTCTAATTCAGCAGCTCATGTGTTATTCACGTTTGGCCCATATAGTGTTTTAAAGGAACATTGTGGTGCAAAATTAAATTTCTGTCCATCACAACCTCAACATTCAAGTCCAGATTTCAAATTCACAATTACTTTCCGACTAAAAAACTTTTCATATTTAAATGTATGTGATTTACATAATGAAAACCCCGTGTAGATAAATAGTATTTTAAAATCCATAATTGTAACAAAGGCCCTCGACGTGTAACCAAAATGTAAGGTAATGCAACACAAATGAGCAAGTTGTTCCTTTGAAAGTGCACTGCTTTATTGCATTTGTAGCCGCCCGTTGCTCTTGTGGTGGATTTTACAAACGTTTACATCTATTCATACCAAACACTCGTCTATACTCTCTACTTCTTTTATTTTCGTGTGCTTTCATTTAGTTTCAGATAATTAAAAGTAGTCTATCTTTTTAGAACCTCTAAAAAAACTGTTGGTGTTAGATAGGTTTATAGATATGTCTATGTAGTTTCTTTGGTGTATGTTTGGGCTATGGTTCAGAGATAGATATATTTGTATAATGTTGTTTTATGTACTTTATTATGGTGTACTTTATTTACTTTTTACGTATAAGTGCGATGAGTACAACGGACCACATAAAAGTAATTTTAATATAGATAATTAGATTTTGCAGTCGTGCTAACTTTAAGGAAATTATATTTTTCAGAATTGTCTGTGCCCAATAATTCTGAGCCATAAAAAGCAGGGTAGTCTCCCTAGAGAAGGGTAATACTTATTCCATAAATCTCATTTCTGAACTTGGCCTCTACCACAGGGAAATACTCTATATTCTATTTTCTCTCCAGTCTCCACGAACATTGTCTTTGTAAAAATCTTCTGGATAAATAACGTACTATTGTTTTATGGCTGGTAGGATTATTACTAAATGCTGTTATATTAGTTTCACAAGCCTTTTTAAAATTTAACCTTTTATCTTGATAGTAACATCGAAAATACGAATTTTGTTTAAATTTAAGCTAATATTTTTACATTGCAGCCAACGTCGCGTAATTAATACTGTTTAAACTACTGTGGTTGTATCTGTGATTTAAATCTTTATTACAGGTTCGTAATTGGAATTTTGTTTCAGGCAAACCCAACGGGCAAACCAACTGCTTAAATAACTTAGTTTGGTTTTGCAAAAATTGCAAGGCAAGGCTAATTTAACACATACACCATCTACTTAGTTTTAACTCATATTTCACACATTCTTGACTCATTACACTCCTAGCTGCTTCTATAAATGTCAACATTGAGATTTCTAAATAATTGATAAATAAAATTGAGAATGCTAAATTGATAAGTTAAATAACATTAGTAATGATTCGCTGATCTAACTAATATCTTAACGTCAGTTATAAAATTGCTAACTAATCTAATACAAAGAGAAAATCAGAAATATATTATCTACCCTGAAATAAAAGAAAGAACACGAGAAGAAGAAGAATGCAAGAGAGTTTACACCAGCGCTCAAACATTAATCACACATGAAACAAGCTCTAGATTTCGACCATAGGATAGTCTACTTGTAATAGTCAACGCGGACGATTTAACATAACAAGAGACAATTAAAGTCCCGATTTGTTGGACCAATCACAGACAGACGTGTGAAGCGTGAAGGTGAGTCAGCGTGTCTCGTGTATTGATCACTCTCACTTCTCAGGCCAACACTCAGCTGATGATACATGGGCTCTAGTCACACCACACACACAGGACACAGTGCTACCAACCATATACACACTTTACTTGTATATAAAATGGAACTCGCCAAGAACAAGGTGGCCGCGTGTGGATAGTTGCAAGAACTACTCCGCGATCACTTCACTTGGCTCTAATGCAGCAAAGTTGTCAAGTACGCTGGCTTGTTACTGGACTTGTTAGTGTGGCTGACGGAGTTTCATTAAAGGCTCTCCAGACGGCAATCACTCTAATCGCTGCCCCTACCCAACACCCAATACCCAACACTACCCTTCCCAACACCCAATACCCAACACTACCCTTACCCAACACCCAATACCCAACACTACCCTTCCCAGTACCATCCCTACCCAACATCACCCCTACCCTTGATGAATACTGACGAGGTATTGATGTTTGACAAAATACCCTTTTGATAAACGTAACTACAGAGTGTATCCTTTGACCATCAAAGTACCAAATAGTCAATGCTATATCGTACCACGTCTTTGTCTATCAAAAGTCAACTTACTTCTAACTCAACGGTTCAATTATTTTACTTTCAGTTTGATTATCATACACCTAATTACTAAAGTTCGGCCGCTTAGAAAACGTATTATCGTACGATATTATCTATCCAAATTGAGCTACTTGGTAGAACTCTCTGTGTCACAACCAGGTTTCAAACCGATGTATTTTTGTCTTTATGAGGTATAAAAGTGAGTGTTTCACTAGAGTATCACATAACAAGGCTTTGATCTGTCAGTTTAGTGGTGCTCATTTGTTCTCACGTGCGGTCCATGAATACATCTTTACATTAACATGTGGTAAACTAATTAATGTAGGGTACATATGATCAATGTACCTAATGTCCTAATTATCATATTGTGTCATCGCCACATTGACCGAAGTCAATGCCACCAGGTTTACTGGGTAGCTTTCATTTCGCATAGTTGCAAAGCTACGAAGTGTAAACTGAAGTTGTAACAGAGATGGTACAGTAGATGAGAGACGTTGCCGCGGGCTTGATGTGTAATCTGCACTCAACTCTGAGCTGCGCCGACCAACCACACAAACATTGCTACAATGCTACAAGCTACAATCATATTGCTATGTTGTTTCCGACCAGTTGCGATTCCAACATTCGAACTATGTTTTATCGAATAGCATTCGTGTAAAGCACACACGTCCGTGAACTATTCGAATACGCCTGCACGATAGTTTTAACTGGTTTCCATACGTTTCTACTGTCAAAATTCAAATACTGTCATCTCCTAATCGTCGATTTGTCTCTTTATTCCAAAACCACTAATAATTACTTCAAAGTTGTTTTAGTGTATGAACCCAAGTGTAAACACTAATGGCAAAATCAAAACCCTTTAGTTGATGTAGTCAGGTGGGGATGGGGTGGATCTCTGTACTCGCGCTACAGGAACAAATCCCATTCAATACTCCCGCTCAAAATAACTATTGTCACTTAATTGAAATTTATATCTCTGCACAGCATCACGTGATGGTTAAATACACTTTCACTTTAGGTCCTATTGTCTTTACCAATCGATATCTAGGCCTACATGTTTTACAACGTGGTGCCATCGAGTATTGAATTGTGAAACTTCATTTATACGTTATGTTAAGACTCACCATGGCCAAACGATCAATGACGTCATCACTTCGTTGGTTGTCGCTGTTGCATAATTCAGCTGACGGTTGTCCATTTCCGTCCTGTGTGTGTCTGTCCCAAACCGATGTGTCCTAACGTCGTCCTGACAGCCGCGACGTGACACATCTCCACCTGCCGTACTACCGTAGATACCAGCTGGAAGCTTTGAAACGTTTTGTAATAGTCAGAGCCGAATCATCCAACTTGGAAACCTTCAGCACAGACAGGTTAACTCTTGTATGGTTTAGTAACAGTTTTATTAGCTTCTCGATTTGCCCAACACAATTTCACAGACCGGATCGGTTTAGTTTAATCGGATCACGATCACGACCCATTCAAGTGTGATATTTTCTGCAGCGGTTTGATAGCGTTCATGCAACAATGGTCATGTCAGCGGTTTATCGGTTGCCGGATTCCCAATACTGTAGGATTGATCAGACTGTAGTGTTTGCTAGTGTATACAGCTCTTGGATCGCTATTAAATGCACCAATGGTCATGTCAGCTGATGTATCGGTTGCTGCTTGCTGGACTCCCAATACAGTAGGATTGATCAGATTGTAGTACTGTATTTGCCAGTTTCTGCAGCGGTTTAATCGCTATACAACAATGATCATGACAGCGGTTGTATCGGTTGCTGGATTCCCAACACAGTATGATTGATCAGAGTAATAATTTGTTCTGCAGAGGTTGGATCGCTATTTTAAACCTTTGCACGATCATGTCAGTGATTGTATCGGTTGCCGAGTTTCGCTCCAGAACTATCCCGCGACACTCCCTACTCCTGTGGGAGCCTGAGGTGTTTACGTCCTGGTCCAGATATAAATTGACTCCCCCTGACATAAACTTGTCATCGCTCCGAGCACATCAGGCGTGTGGAAGTAAATCCTAGACCGCAGGCTAAAATTGCATTCCGTGTTTATATTGGTTCTCCAGCTGGTGCTAGTCTGTTGATGATGAAGAAATGGAAATACCACAACGTTGGTAATATTTAAAAAAGTTAATACCGTGTAAAGCAAGTATAACAAATCATAACAGACGCATGTGCAAATTATTTCCGATTCACCCTGCTATCAGGGCTTGGTTTAAACTTTGGTTTGCAGAGGTTTGTCTGCTGACTGAAAGTATATCACTTGAAT